TAAATTTTTATAGGTCATAGGGCTGTCACGGTTCCAAAATTTTTCGGGTTGGGTCGGTTCTGATTTTTTTTAGGTTCGGTTTCAGGTATTTTGATTCCGGTAATTAATGGAATAAAAGCTATTGATTTGTATTATTTTTATCAACAAAATGAATATTTTCATTTAATCTTCGAAATAGCAACATTCTAACTAATTTAAAGTAGCTTCCTGACTAAACAACAATTGTACCATATTATTTAAATCACCTTATAATTGCAAAGTATTAAGAAATATCTCGTTTTTGAAGCCATTTTCATAGTAAAACCTACACTACTATACAAATCGGAACCGAACCGAATTCTGGAAAAACAGAACCGTAACCGAACCGAATGAATTGTTCCGCAGTTCCGGGTCATTTCGGGTACCCGTGACAGCCCTATTGACCAAACATCAAGCTCAAAGTTTAATAATTTATCATTCAAAATCTACTAAGGCAAATGTTTCCAACTATATATATATGACAGGAGTGAAACGATACACCTCCTTCACCATGTTCACGGTTTGATATGTATCGTTTAATTTTGTCTCAGAACAGTTATTTTCAACAAGATACATTTTGAAAGAAATAATACAATGAAACCTCTGTTTTATGCTTTCTTTGACTTAATCTAGTCACATTAAGACACAATTTATGTGAAAAATGACTGAATGAAATAAATTAAAATTGATTTTACTGTTATACAAACTATTGATTGATCACAACAAATTATTTTTTATGTACTTTTACTTAAGGACACGTTTACACCAAACCAAACAGAATGACGATCCCAACCGAAAAAAAAGGATATATTTTGTACCATGTAACAAACCAAGAAAATATACCATATGGATACCATGTGAATCCATACTGCAATAAACCGTTTCAGTCCTAATGTATTACATTACAACCAGTTAGTGCCCTAAAATCTAAAACAGTGGATCAAGGAATACTTGGAATTGTAAAGTATAAAAGTAATGTTTCAACCATTTGACTTTTTTACAAAAACGATTAAGATATCCTATTATAATCGTGATAATAAAAATTTCAAAATACGTTTTGAAAAACTGTAGCAAATTGGTGGATCTAAATTTTTATTGGTTTTATCAAACAGATTCATTTTATCTTTTAGTCATTCATTACTGTAATGATTACGATATTCAGAAAATGAAACTGAAGACAACAGTTGAGGATATTAAGGTGCATACCAATCGATCAGAAATAAAACATCGAAGTGAAAAATTTTTGTGACAGCTAGTGTAAAAATTCTGGGCAGAAATGGTTTGGAATATATATAAAAAGTTTTTAATTTCATCATGGTTTAAACGGTTTAATATAAATAATCTACTTATTTGCATTAATTGGTATTCAAGATGGCATTGACTGAGTTTTACTGCAGTGCAATGAAATTTACTTGATGGAAGCCACCATGATACATGCATGTAAATAAAATACAAGATATCAAAACACTTTTAGCGACATTTAAACCAAACTGTTTGCCTTTAGCAGTTTAACAGCCCCAGGCAAACAGTTTGGTTCTCAGGTCCAACAAAACACATGTTGCCCGAGAATAAAATCAATAAACAAAGCATAAAATTCTTGAAAATATTAAAAATAAAAATATTTAGCACATTCAAATTTCAGTAAAACTAATATTTCTGAGCATGTCAAGAACATTGTTATAGGTCAGATCACTCTGAATAATTTCATCACCGGAATCTTCAGAATCACTGTTTGTATTCTTCGTATTGTCGTTTTTATATTCAAACAATATCGTTGTTTCCCAGTCTCCGTCATATAATAAATGTAATCGTTTATGGACCCTGGAAATTTAATCTCCTTATTAGGCGCCAAGAACTATCAAAATTATGTACAATCCTTAATCCACATATTTTAGATCTTTACCTGATTCCGTGATTTCAAGAAATGCGCGCAATACGGTTGATTGGTTATCGAAATCGAGGTCTTGAAAATCTGTATCACCGGGACGTTTTAGAGATTGAATGCTTTCAGCGTACTTTTCAAGCATTTATCTCATTGAGATTTGTAATTCAACACCGCGTTGTTTGGTTTACAAAAAGCTTGAACAGAATTGAAAGGACGTTGGATTACTTCAAATAAAGACTTGCAATGAAAAACTTGTTTACATAATGGTATGTATGTGACATTTTATGTTTTAAACATGTTTATTTCTCAAAATAATCTGGAACTAAGGAATTATCGTCACAGGACACTATCGACAACTGATGACACCTTGTCTTCATAGAACTTTTCAAGTTATCATGGTTTTAGTCCCAAGGATAACATTGTATATAATTATATTTATATATCTTTAAGGCCAATCTTGAAGAGTTTGACATTGAGGCTTGCCTACAATCAGGATTTTGGATTTGCCCAATCGAATCATGTAAAAAGAAACTAAGCAGGAAGCAGACCTTGAGGACTCATCTTTCATGCATCCATTCAGTAAAAGGTATGCCAGTACGAATTGGGACTGCCATTTCATTGAACCTATGAATATTTTAATATATATGAAAGAGTTTATTTCAAATGAGACTTGAAATTACATATATGAAATTCAAAATGCACCTTAAACCCGTCATAATTGCTTTACATTATGGGGAAAATACACTTTGGTCCGGCTGGACTAGTGCTTCTTTACTTTTACTAGTCTGCGGGCAATTTTATTAGTCCTTCAAAAATAACAATAAATAAATAGAATTAATGTTGCAATATACTTTTTTGAAATAAACAATGCATTTACACGAAAAACTCCATCAATCATTTCTTTGTGTTCTGTAAACTTATTTCTGTGCATCTGTGTTGTGTGACTTATCTGTGTTTTGTCAACCTCCGAATATACATTAAATAAATCTTATTTCCTTTTGCAGGGAATCCCGTGAAAAGATACAAACTGCATGAGCAAGCTGAAACGCATTTGCAGCCTAGAACTTCAAAGTGGAGAAAATTAAAGTATGACAGATGATAATATACCATTATTGATTTTCCATAAAATTGAGTATTTATGTTGCACATTCAGCCACTACAAATGATAAAGTATAATTAGCATTTCTTGTGTGTTATTTATATTAATATGACATATGCTTAATTATTCAGTAATCAAATATTGCCGTAAATTGATTCAGCTTTGCCAGGGACCTATGTATTTTAACAGAAGAGGTAACTACGGCAAGCCTCATGATATCTTGAAAGTCGCAAAATTTTGGGAGTCAACTTTAATTTAATTATAGCTCTAAAGCTATCGCATATTTGAGATCAAATCTTTTTTCTGTTAAAAAATCATTCAAGATTTGGTTAGCACGTATTATACTCTTTTTCTTAGTAGTACTGTAAATCACTTTTTATTTGCGAGAAATTTATTTTCATGTAATTAATTACCTGCGACGGTATGCACCCGAAAATTTCATTCTCGCATATAGTAGAATTGCTTAAGATTAAATAGAACAATGACCACAATTCATGAAAATTTTGTCTTTGTAATAAAGAGTTAATGACTATCTTGTGAAAATAAGGTGTCGCGAAAATTAAGTGATCTACAGTAATTTAATTTGTTTTATGCAAAATCAGCACATGCCCGATCGGCCATATTTCCAAAAAATTGCTGATTTCAGTGTACGTTTTCTTTATATTTTAATTATGTTATTATTATGCATTAAAATTTATTATTATAAAATCAATTCCAGTACATAAAAAGATTAAATTGACATTTATCATAAAACATCTTGTTTATTAGGAATAAACATAGTTATGTTAAAAAACTTGTAGTGTTGTCCGTGGTGTTTTGGGTAAATAAACATGGCGATGAAGGAGTTGCTATCCTGTTAGAATGTAGGTCCCTAGTTTTGCATCATATGTATAATAAATTAAACATTATAATTTGCATACTTAATGGCTTTATTGAATAAGTTTTCAATTGCACTCATGGTTCTTGTGTATTTTCTTACAGAGAAGAAGCAGAGACATCAACTTATGAGAATCCTGAACATGATCACCCCAGTGTTCTTGACGTTTCATCAAATGATGTTGGTATTGATAACAGTAATCAAAATGATGGTGCAGCATTTGTGCAAGATTTTGAAACTGCCAATGATTCACAACCGGCAAACCAATATTTTCCTGCAGAAATCGAACAAATTGTTTGTATGGAAGGATTCATGGAAAATTGTGAAGAAATAGATATGGAACTTGATTCTGAAGAAAGTGATTCTGTCTCAGGTGATGATGATTCTGAGGGAGAACCAGAACAGGATGCTGCTGCTGCAGTTCCAGAAGAAGAGGTGAAAGAAGGAGGAAGTGTCCCTTTGTATGTTTTGCCACCCAGTAAATCTCTATTTTTCACTGAGATTCAGCACAAAGAACATCTCCTCTCTATTTGTGCATATTCAACAAAAAACCATTTGTCCCGCACAGGATTTCAACAGCTACTTATGCTGATAAATGTCCATCTCCCTGAAAAAAAATTTGTGTGAGACCAGCGTCAATAAAGTCAAGGAGAAAATAGGATTTGGTGGAAACTACTTCACATATCATGAGTACTGTGATGTATGCGGTGCTTTATACCCTGAAGATAGAGGTATAGTAAAATGTGAAACACCATCCTGCACTGGATCAAGATCAAGTGATGCTGATGCGACAGGAAGAAGAAAAAACTACTTCGTCAGTGGGGATTTACACTTACAACTGAAAGAGATACTTGAAAATGAAGAAAATTTTAATGAAGTATTGTCCTCATTTCAAAGATGTAATGATAGTGAGGAAATTCATGACATTACAGATGGCAAGAAGTACAAAGAAATTAAGAAAAAATGTAAGGACATGACTGTCACATTGACTATGTTTACCGATGGAGTTTCCTTAGTTAAATCATCAAAAGTCTCTCTATGGCCAGTGTACCTTGTCATCAATGAACTCAATCCACAATCAAGGTTTTTGAAGAAAAACATGATTTTATAGGGACTCTGGCAAGGACAGGGCAAACCTTTGATGAATACTTTCTTTTTTCCATTTGTCAAGGAAATGAGAATGTTATACAACACTGGAATGCAAGTAGAAACTCCATCTGGACAACAGACAGTTCACGCTATAATAAACGCCATGACTATGGATCTTCAAGCAAGAGCTTGTGTTTTTAACATGATGCAACATAATGGCTTGTGTGCTTGCCTGTACTGTGAAGAGCCAGGGGTTGTGGTGAAAAGTGGAAAGGGCCATACCCGCAGCTTTCCATATCGTGAGACTAAACCTCAACTGCGGACAAGATTATCAATTGAAGCAAATGTTCATGAAGCCGTACAATCAAAAAAAGCTGCCTGTGGATTTTATGGAAGGTCCATCATCACACATCTTCCATGGATGGAATTTCAAGAAAATTGTACCATAGACTACATGCATGGCTTCCTTCTGGGAATAACAAAAAAGTTTTTAAGCATGTGGATAGATGGAGCCAATTATCAGCAGCCTTACTTCATTGGACACAAGCTCAAAGACATAGATAAAATTTTACAAAGTATCAAAGTTCCCTATCTGATCCATCGCAGTCCAAGAAAAATTCAAAACAATCTCAATCACTGGAAAGCATCTGAGTTTCGATCTTTTCTCATCTATTATGGGCTACCCTGCTTAAAAGGACACTTGCCAGATACGTATTTGGAGCTTTTCGCTTGTTTTGTTGAAAGAACTTTTTTGCTTCTTCAAGAGAAGATTACAACATATGATCTCGCTAGGGCAAGGATGCTTTTGGAAATGTTTTACAAATGCATGGCAACCCTGTATGGAGATGCTGTGTGTGGCCTAAATGTGCATAACATTAGTCACATAGTGGATTGTGTGGATAACTGGGGACCACTCTGGGCTTATTCATGTTTTGCTTTTGAATCTTTTAATGGAGAAATTTCAAAAGCGATACATGGAAAAGGAAATGTAAGTGGTGAAGTTTATTGGGCAGTCCACAGCGAAAAAATTCTACAAAATGAAATCAAACTGCTTCAAGATGGAAAGCCGAAAGATCTTCTAAAAGAAATCATGTCTGCGAGAAACACCGTAAAAAACAGCAATCTTGAAATTGGAGAACAGTGTTACATAATGAAACCTTTGGTTAAACTGAATTCTGTATCTGATACACTTTTGCAAAATCTTTCTGTTCTGATAAATATGGAGGTTGGAGAAGTCCAGAAAACAACCATCCTTAAGGCATCAAAAATTCAAAGAAACAGATTTGTTTTTTACAGCAAGTCATGCGGCAAAGTGAAGCGGAATAATTCATTCACTGTCCACCTAAATCAAGATTTTCATGGGTGCGACATTGTTATGGTGGATTATTTCATCCATCTTTCTGACCTTAGGAGAACTTTTGCCCACAGCAGTGGATTTCAGAGGATTTCTAGGATGGTGGAGGGAAGAGCACCCCACGTTCAGCTGTTGGAATTGAAATGGTAATAAATATATATTAAGTTTTAATCTGTTTAGTGTTTACAGACTTAAAAGGAATGAAATAGATGTGCTTGCGGATATGCGTCCTTTCCAATTTTTATATTTTTGACAATGTATACATGGTACAGGTTACATTAGGAGACAAAGATAATTCATACAGTGGCTGGAACGTTATTGTTGACAAACCAATCGTGTAGAATCGTTCGTGCATGGTGCGTGATCGTTCGTGTAACGTGCGAGATCGTGCGTGTAACAGACTCAATCGTTTGCGGTTATAATCGTGCGGGAACGTGCGTTTAGAAACGTGTAAATTTCGTTTTGTAAGTTTTTATCGGAATGTTATCTGTGAAACAAGTATTTCGTTTATATTTTATTTTTTAATCCAAATAAAAGGTTTACATAATTGAATACGGAACGAACTAACTATCGCTTGTAAAAAAGCAATAAAGTAAGTCGTACAATATTATGTTCTCGTCAAATAGCGTGACTTATTGTGATAAACCGTACTAAGATGTTTTACTATATTTTTCTGAAGTTCATTCTTGTTTGCTGCTAATTGTGGTAAAATATTTTTTTTTAAATTTCATATAATCAAACAGAATTTTTTTTTTACAAATTAATAAATATTTTTCAAAGCTTACATAAATGTTTAGTCGGCGAATGTACATGCACGTCACGCACATGATTTTCGATTCGGGGTTTTGTTTAACAGTGTTTATCTCTGTAGCTTACTTTTAATTTTTAAAGTAAAACAATAATTTGCAATGTCGTTTTTCATGTTTTAGAGATTCATAAACATTTTGAAGTAATGAAAAAATATAGATATAAGTTAAGTCATTTTATGCTGCCATTTTTTTCCCCAATCGTATCCCCCATTCTACATATTATGAAATCTAATTCAATCAAATTTTACGGTCCACATACTACTATCTTCTGATAGAACAAAAAAAATCCGTTTTCTTATGTCGGAGAATTATCTTAATGATTATTTATTATCTAAAATAATAAAAAAAATCTTACATGTATTTAGTACCAGAAATACCCATTTCCTTTTTTTTTTTTCAAAGTCGATGATATATTAATATATTTATTGATAATTATTTGAATCTCAAATCAATATAAAGCCGTATTTCTTTTTGGAAATATCGATTCCTAAATAATTTGAACTATTTTGCGTGAAGAATCGTGCGTTTGCGTTAGCAATCGTGTAAGATCGTGTAACGTGTAGAATCGTGAACGTGAAGGATCGTTCGTGTATCAGGTTTAATCGTGCGTTAATCGTGCGGAATCGTGCGTGTAACGTGATCGTTCGTGTAAGTTGTCAACAATAACGTTCCAGCCACTGTATCCTTATACTTGATAATTTTTTTTATCATATTGATTGCTGTTTTTCTTCCTTTGCAAAACATGGGAACACTAAAGCTGATAATTATAATATTTCTCTTAGTTCAATTTTATGGCAAAATGCAAGGTTCCTAATTATTTTAATTGATATTAATGATGTGATTGTGAAGGACGTTTTCTTCTTTAAAACTTAATACTCAGCAACTAGATAGCTTATCTTTCTTGTATTATTTTGTAGGAAAGATCTTCTTGTTCCAGTTCCTTTGCTTGAAGAACTTGTTGTTCACATGGAAGTCAATGGACAGGATATCATTGCTTGCTTTCCTAATTTTGTAGAGAGGGATTAGGAATTTGAATCAGTATATGAATGCTGAAGGAACCAATCTCAAGTGGATTTTTGCAAACTGTGAAATGTTAACTCGTACACTTTTTGGATAACTAAGTGGCTGTTTATGTCGTGTTTATATGTTTAAAGATGACTGTTTGTAGGTTAATAATGAAATATGAAGTTAATTTTTAAAGCCATTTTTGTCCACACTTGATAATTTAACTGCTTTGTAATCAAAGACACAAGTTGTTCTTAGGTAGCACTTGTACATATGATTATATATATATATTTTGTTGATGTAAATTGAACATGTATAAGGAATACACAGAGTTTAAAGTCACATTTTGTCATTCATAGAGGGCATAGCATTAGTTATATAAATAATGACATCAAACTTGGAACAGCTCAATTTTTGAATTTTTCAATTCCAATTTTCAGTTAGGATTCTGTATATTGATGAAAAATTTCTAAGTCCAATTCTAATTCAATGTGTATATTGCTGAAAAAATTCTAAGTCCAATTCTAAAAGCTTTTCGAATCATTCCGAATGATTTCCGAATGCATTCCGAATCAATCAGAATACTTTCCATGTGAGAATAATTCCGAATGACTCGGAAACATTCGGAATCCGAATGCTTCCAAGTTGTTCCGAGTAATTCCGAATGAATTCCATGTTGAAATTGATGCCAACTTGGAACTTCTACAAACGGGTATCTGTTAAGACATAATTGTTCCATTAAATAAAAAATATTCACTTCATTCTGGACGTTCTTTGAAATTTTTAATTTGTAAATTTGGCATGGAATTTCCAAACACATGAGACGTTGAAAATGACGTCAAAAAGAAGAAGGGGCTTCGTTTTCAAAAAAAGATTTGGCCCTAGAAACACCGGTATAGACCTAAAAATGTTACACTGGCCTCGGAGAAATAATATCATCCATAATACTTTTTACTTAATGTCAAAATAGATTAAGGGAGAAAAGGGATGCACAGTTAATGTCGATTTGTAATCAAGGAGTACAATCAATCATGTCAAAATATGACGTTGATCATGTGCTGTAGGTACTGAACTCCCCCGAACAAAATGTGCTTGCACAATCAAGCGACGATCCCTTCCAATATATAAATCCATTTGGAAGGTTATACATGTATTCATTAAAAGTCGCTGCTCATGACAATGTAAAGTTATATGAACAAGGCGATTTTAAGATATTTCTCAGCTCCGAGAATTTCAACAAAAATAGTATGAGGTAAATAAGCAGGCATTGAAGAAAAACAAAAAAACAATGGCTTTGTTGAATGTATGAAACGTAACGACGACAGCGCCGGGTGATCAAAAAATGTCTTTTTTATTTTTTAATAATTTTGCAAATAGAGTAAAAGTTTTAACATTTCTTTATTTTTTGTTGTTCCAAAGTTTTCGCCATTGTTAATCAAAGTTCCAAGGTTAGGCTGCTTTAACTATGGTACTATGGTTAACTAGAGTAAACTATAGTTTACTATAATTTACTATAGTATTTTTTGTTAGGGTAGTACTAATTCTATTGCCTCAGTCCACGAACGTTTTGATAGCCCCTCGTATAGTTTTATGCGTCTAAGATGGTTTTGATAACTTAAAAAAAATTACATACAAATTGTAAGCTCTTCTTTTTGTTCATTCATTTAATTACAGGTTACTGGTCGTTTAAACAGATAACTTAAGTAAACATATATAGGGATTAGTCACGCCAATGGCGCTTTTAGAAGTTTTACGCCAATACTTTTTGGCATTATGAATGTGAATTAAACGTCATCAACAACACGCAAAACGTACGCAGCATTGTTAAGGCTTGAATAAGGGGGCGGGGCCTAATTTATACGGGAAAAGTATACTATGACGTCAGACAAAAATATGACATTTATGTAGTTCTCATTATACGTGTAAATGAAATAATCTGCAACGCTGAACAGTATTAGCATAATAAACAACATTATAACTTATCAATGCATTAAAAAAAGTTGCTAGTTAAATCCCATGTAGCTTGTTGTAGACAAAGCACTCGTCGCGATGAACTTGTAAACATGACGTCATACTGGTAAAAATGACGTACTTCATGTGCTGTGAGAGGCAAATTGAGAAATTTTTTATCAACGAAAAATGTGTTTTATTATTAAACGGAATATTATTTACAGATTTTAAATAGTCGATTAATACCAAGGTATAGCCTTGGTTTTGTGCGATTGTTAATTAACTACAAAGAGAATGTATTTTATTAATTATGTCGTGTTTTATGTACAGGTTACGTATATTTTACATCGAGATGCCACATAAAATCGTACTTTCGCAAGGGCATACACTGCATAGATCTGAACCATTTTTTAAATATAGATAAAGGATATATTCCTTAACTTGAAAAGTGCTGCTGCTTTCTTTAAATCGAGGCCGTGATTTTATAAGTGCACAAAATATTTGGTAAAATTCTAACATATTTCGACATTGGCCTATTTACTTAAACATTTAAGTATTAAAACGCGAATTCTATTCAAAGCAGCAGCACTTTTCAGAAACTACAAAGTACACAAAAACAATTAATAGCTTGAATTTTTAATTTCAATTAGGGTATGCCCTTGCGATATTGAAATTTGTTATTGACCTACATTCCGTGTACCTGCTATGCGTTCATCACGTGACTGTCCATCGATGGGACCAAACTCTACACAGTACAGAGTATGTTATACCATGCTATTTCCATAAGTATTTAAGTTCTGTGATAATAGAATTGCTGAATAAAAATAAATTCAATTTTAAAAATTTCCCCTTTTTTGCACTTTTATTTTCCGTTGATTTCTCATAGTAAGCCTTAACAGTGCTGCGTAGAATAAAAATTCGGGGAACACAGAAAGGAAAGCCTGTTTGACAGCTTGCACCAACGTCAATCAATTTATGGCAGTGATTGACATAAAACATATGAAAACTTTAAGAGAAAACTGAAACGACAAAAAATAACTCTCTTTAATGTTAAAAACACACATATTTCAATGAAGACTGTTAAATAAATCTAAAAGAAAACAGAAAATACAGATAACAGAAAACATAATTAAACATGAATATTTGATGTTTATTTTGTAACTTTTGCATTCCATGTATCATCAAAATCTGGATTTTTAACAAAAAAATATTTAAGTTAATTTTGATCTTATAAATGTTTAATTCTTCAATAATTAGTATATTTTAATAAACAGTTTTATTAAAAATGCTCTTTTCATTTTATTACTGTATTAAGAATTAAAATGTGTTATATGATCTTGCAGTATTCAGTCATTTTATTCTAAAGTATTTTTATTCTGCTTTTCCATACATTTTGAATCTGAGTCCTTGTCTTTTTGGCGGACCGTCTGTTTGGTTTATATGGCTTAAGGTCAGACAACACGTTCCTAAAAAAATATATTTTTTCTAAGAATTTGTTTTTAAAGTACATGTAATTAAACAAGTTTCCTAAAAAAAAAATAAGGGTATCTTACCAGGCATTTGGACAAGATACCATTGGGTCATAGTTCTTATATAATCCTTATGGGTACGCTTCTGAATGGCCTATATCACAATTTTTGGTGTACTTATATTAAAGAACATTCTGTAAACAATGTAGAAATCAGAAGAGAATGACAAATATGAATATTTTTTTATATAACACCAATCGATACAAAACAGATATTTGAGGAACGTGTCGTCTGACCTTAAAGGCTGGATACTAATCATTCAAAGAGAACATCAAGATAAGTATTATCATCTCTCTGAACTATGTCCGATGTAACTGTGGAACATTCGACTATAACATCATCATATGAAGATGATGATTTGCTTGAGATTTCATTACATTCATCATTTAAATTTTCATCCCCTGTATACGCATCTGTATCCAATATTTCTATATACGAATGCCGTTGTCTACTGATGTTCTCTGTTGTAATAACAGGGTCTATATAATTTTCCAAACAACTACTTTCAACCGCCATCTCCAGTTTTGACTGAGAACCACTTTTGAGCACAGCTGGATTGTCAACCATTTCTAAACATTCCTCAATTTCCTGATACTCAGACTGAACACGCTGATACACGTGACCTTTGACCTTATCCTCTTTTAATCTGCTATACTGTTTTATATCGATGTCCATTTTTGAGGAGTCACTCAATGCATTTATTTCATTGTTTTCTCCCCCTTCTTCCTTTGAAATTGTTTTGTGTGAAGATTTTGATCTCAATCGGAGTTGTACAATGACAACTATCAGTAGAATAGCTAATATCAATCCTACACCCAGGATTGTATAATTACTGTTAAACTGTCCCGTGGTAGTTCTATCAGAAGGTATTTCTGTTGTTTGTATCCCTGATGAGTACAAAATTGTTCTGCTTTTTATTGTTATATACGGCTTTAGCGTTGCTGATGTTGATATTTTGTAACTCTCTGTGGAAGGAATAGGAAGCTCAGTTATTATTATTCCCGATGATACTGATTGTGTAGAAATATGTATTTTTGTCAGATGAAGCCCTTGAAGTGAAGGGGCAATAGATTAAATGGAATAAGTTTAAAATTTATACTATTTTGCATTTAAATAGCGTCTTTCTAGCTTAATTAAATTAACAAATGTATGTAGTTTTTACCTGTAACTGCCTCTGTGGTTCTAAGCTGGCTTATAAGAGGACATCCGGTCACGTGGTCACAATCCTCTAGAGAGCACGCGCATACCCCTGCACAGCCTTCACCGAATTTTCCACGTGGACAAACTGCATCACAAAGTTTCCCAAAGTATCCAGGGGCACACACTAAAATAACATTTAATAGAGATATTGCTTTTTTGAAAGAACTACGAATGATAGCATTGTTCTCCCCCTTACCTCCAAGTCAATTTTCAAAAGTTAATATATTTGAATGATTTTCCATATTTATATTCAATCACATATTTATATAAATTTCCATGAATACATTACTTATTTCGGAAAACAATGAGTATTAACCCTATAATTTTGGTAAAACTCGCGTTTTTCACTATAGAAATCAACAGAAAATATTTCTAAAACATCTCTCCCCATCCCTCCCCGTGAAACAAAAATGTCTTTACACATGTAATATAGACTGTCATTTCACAAATCCAAACCAAAGCTTTTTTGTTACACGGGCAGGGGAACACATGTTTAATGACCAAAAAATGACAAAGGTTATAATTTTTCACCAATTTCAAAGGGGTTTAAAACTAAAACATAATATTTTATAAATGATGTATGTTTAATTTTGTATGCTTAAAACATAAAAAAAAGAGGTAAGGAACATTTATTCGCATTCAGAAATATAAGAGCTAGAATAAGGTATAATTAACTAGTTTACACTGGTATTAAAATTATTTATCAATTATAATTGAATTGATCATTTTTATTCAACAAAGATTTTATGGCCAAATTGTCATTAATATTGAATTAAATAAGTTTAAAATGTAGGCGGGAATCGAGAGTTAGCGTACGTAGTTCTTTCTTTCATTTTAACAACTTGGAAATCCTTGATAAGTGTTGTTTAATAAAAGTTTCTGGGAAAATGTAACAACCACTTGTCGGCGGAATACTACAAATTTAGACTTGTACTTTGCAATTATGGCTTATGAGAAGTAACGGAATTTCTTTTCTAAGCCCCAACTACGATAGGAAACATTGGTGTCTACAGTTTTTTTCAAAGAATAATGCATATCGTTATACAGTAGATCTAAAACTGTGAAATTGGATGAACTCTCTCGTTATTCTTCGACTCTAGAACAAGCATTCTAAGCGTTGTAAATACAGGAGACTTTGTAAAGTTAATGATGGAGGTTATGGCGATGACATAAATGCAAGGAGTGTAAAGAATTGTGCCGTACGTAATAATTATTTATAATTGTTAATAATCCAACAATATCCATTGTAATGAATTCAGTAATAAAACGTAAAAAAATCTGATTTGTAATCTAATTCAACAAAATCACTTTTACGATTGATTGATTGATTGTATACTGTTTAACGTCTCTTTCCAGAATATTTCACTTATATGGAAACGTCACCATTGTCGGTGAAGGGCTTCAAATCTAGGCCTATGTTCAGAACCTCCGGCCCTTTAGCAGGGAGGGATCTTTATCGTGTCACACCTGCTGTGACACGGGGCCTCGGTTTATACTGTCTCATTCGAAGGACCGCCCCATTTAGTTGCCTTTTACGACAAGCAAGGGGGTACTTAGGACCTACACTATCCCTGATCCCCACGGTGCAAATAACTTTACAAAATCACATTTACTTGGTAAATTTCTGTGTTAAAAATATAAGAAGAAACATCATAAAAAGAAACAATCTAAATAAAATATTTGCATATACAGAAAAATGAAAGTTTTAAAGGGATAAATATCTTTTGCTTGGTATCTTAAGTGATTTTGTTGGCATTTTTTTTGTTTCAAAAGTAACGCTACTCATCATACAGTCAGGCCAAAATGTCCTGTTGGCTTTCATTTCCCTGATATTTTAAAACAACAAAATCAACGAAATTTAATCTCCAAAGGAACTTTCTGCTTTACAGTACATGAACATAGCAAAACCTTACCGTTACAATCCCCGTTCCTGTCTCTGTCATAATTAGTACAACAGAAAGAACTTGTCACATTTCTGAAAAGAAGAATATTTGAAATTGAAAATAACGATTGTCTTTGAATCTTTGAGATAGAACCATTGTATATGCAATTAGATCCTATGAGGGCACTGTGATTTATTTCTCCTTGGTTACTCTGCTTAAGCTATATATTGGATACCTGAGCTAAACAATAAATTTTTTTTAGAATAACTGGAGGTTTACATAGTATATTATCTACGTTCAATTTGAGACTTTCACTAATTTTGATCATTAAATATGCCAACCCTTCAATGGCTAAGTTGACTTTAAACTGTGTCTGATATTTCAATCCTAGTCGGAAATAAATCAGTTGTTGTTTTTAATCTCTGATATTTATGAAACGTTAATGCGATTAATCTCAATTGTGTATTTTACAGGAAAGCCCCGTCTTTATATAGATTAGCAAAACAAATAGAAAGGTCTTTTTAATTTAAGTTAATATGAGATAATTAAATATTAAATATATACCATATATGAAAAAAATGTATTGTTAAACATTTTCATGTAAAAAGCATTCCTTCTTTGAACGTAGCAAACTTACACATGGTGATTTGCATATGAATGTCATTTAACATTTCTATATATTTCTTGTTTTTGTAGTAGTGTTTACCCTTTTAAAAGTTAAAAGTGTAAATTTATTCTTACCTGTTTAAGATACATATTGTTTTACCTAGAATAAAGCAAGAAGAAAATATTAAAAGTAGTCCAAAAAATCGTAACACATTATGAAATAAACACATATTGATCTTATATCTATAAACGCATATTCAGGAAGCAGTTGAAAATTTGGAATTTAGACTGACAGGAAGTCACAAACTATTTCAATTATATTTTTTCTTCCTGTAGCAATTTATTGTTGATTGTTCGAAGTGTTCTATTGTCATTAAATAAATCGGCATTCCGGTGACTGCATACGAAGTCGATATTTACAGGAAAAGTCACACATTTTTATTTAGATTTATCAAATAACGACTCAAATATTAAAATGAAAAGGTCCATCATTTAATTTCGCCCTTTTTATAAGTAGATTGTGTTTTTTTAATAATAATATTTTTGTGTCCAATAATTTGACATAATAACTACATATGTATAACTACAAATTCAAGGAAGAAATTAAAGAAAAACATATTATTCAATATTTATATGTG